GCTAATAGTTTATTGTCTATACTGTATTTTCTCTCTCTTATTATTAGCTTTGTTCCTACACTATTAAGAGAACATTTTTTTTCCATGGTTCGCGGAAACAAGCATACATGCAATTAGTATTTGATCTTTCATTCCAGGAAACGGGGAAAAATATATAATGAAACGAGAGTGCGCTCACTTCAATATCATCGTTGACTTGACAACAATACACGATGCAGCTCACGTAGATATTCAGATAAGAACTGACAAGCTATGGAAGAAATGTGCAGTACTTAGTACAGAATAATAATCAGAATAAGTAATTGCTGCTTATGGCATAATGAATCATTAATCGGTAGTATGGAATATATTATCTTCTGGTAGAACCGAAGAAAAACCGAATGACATAATATATATAAAACCAAGATTTCTCCTTTATTTTTAAATTATCTTGTATTAAACGATGACATATTTTGTTGTACGACTATTAGACAGTGTTTTTCACTTAACCGTTGTCAATTTCTATATGTATTATGCAATTTTTGTGTATCCATACACATTCTGTATTTGTTGTTCTTTCATACACATTACTATTATTTTATAAGAACTACTTATATTTCAGAAGGCACATGGAGCCATTTGTATGTGAATGTTATCACGTTTAACAAATATTTTTTCTACATTGATGCAGTGAACTTTTGACACGTCTTCTGCTTTTTAGCATCGTTCGCTCTTCTAGCTTGTCTGATATTCGAAATAATCAATGCCGTTCCGTAATATTTATACTTTCGAAAGAAGACCATTAAATTACATCATCTTTACAGAACTTTTATCGATTGAGTTGAAACCTTCTTACTGGAAAACAAAAAGGTTATAGTAAAACTACTAAAAATGGTATTCAGATAATTTTCTTTGCATCTTGAAACACTCAGAACCATCATATGTGTGCTTTTAACGCATTGTAGTGCAAGCGAGAATTTATTGTTTAATTATGATCTTTTATGCTTTTAAGTTTAGATGCTGTCCTATCTTCTAACCATCTAGGACAAATCTGCCTTTAACCATACGATCGAATTTTTTGAGTACTTGTGATCTGAAGAGCATTTGATCAGTAGAAAGTTTATAAATGGTATAATAATAACAACTTACAGTTTACTAAACAAAACATAAAATAAAGGATTTTTCAAAGGATCAAACTATTTTCGAATTTGTTTTCGTTGCTTCCGTTCTACTATTCGTCATATTTTCACTGTTGTTTTGATGTTGAGAATGATAAAGGAAAATTGTGGGTAATTTCCTTCAAACGTCGATGAGACAAGAGAAGAAGAACATCATACATATAATGAATGGAAAAGAACAAGATCAAAAACATACGTCTCGCCTTTTTCTCCTGTCAACATAATGACGTGTTATTTCAGACAAAAAAAGAAGGATAAATAGAACGCAGCATCATCAATAATGTTATTGTGTATGATAAAGAATAGCGCATATTTCAGATTCATATCGTTTGAATGACGCAGTAGTCGTCTATACACGAGAAAACAATTCTAATGAACTCTGAAGAGCAAAAGATTTCAATAGACTTCGTTGGTATGTATATTTTGAAGGGTCAAACCAAATAATAAAATAAACAACTTCTAATTTATTCAATATCGAAAATTTTTATAATTATGAACTACGTACGATTCTGAACTAGACATTATTCGAGGTTGATATTTACTTGGATAGCACTGTAGCTGAGATACACAAGTCCATGTTCGGACTGATAGATTTTTCCACAGGGACTAAGACTAAAATTATAAGAAGATTGGACTCCACTTTGGACTGTTTTTTTTCACAGTTATGACTGCCTATGCAGGAAAAAATAAGCCAGTGGCGATGCAGCTGGCTACACTAGTTTCGATATCCATTGCAGCTAGCTGCATAAACGTACACACTATGGAACGAACGCTATAGTGACCGCTTCCGCTAGTAATGAATTGTCCAACACGATTTTCAAATATTTGAAGCTAGTTGGGAATTGCATACAGTAACTTAGTTTTCCATGAAGGAAACATTTCTCAGAATTGATTCTAGAGACAATAGTATGTAAAATTTAATTTCCAACATTTTTTCCTCTTGATACAAGTTTAGGAAAAGCTTCCTTCAGGATGAAAATGAGATGTTTTTTAATTGTTTTTGATTTTTCACTATGAACAAAGCGTTTCCGAACACTATGTCTACAAAAGAAAGTATTGAAAACGGAATTTTCTGTCTTATTGTCTCTGAGCTCGACTCTAAGAAATGCTTTCTTCATGGTGAATAATCTTAACTACATTAATTTAATTAAACTTCTTGAAGTTCAATTCACTAGTTTATCAGAACAGAACGAAAAATATATAATTTTTAGTTGTGTGGTCGTGTGATGCAGTGGCATACGGAAAAGATTATCAGTCTTTATATACAGAGTTTATATACAAATTTGTTGTTTTCGTTTTTTGTTACTAAAGCCATGTAAACAAAGAGTGTCTTTCTGGTAAAAAATAGGAGGGCTAATCCGGAAGAAACATACCACGTTATACAAAACTATTTACGCCAGCGGCGCGACACACATTACTAGAAACAGTTTTGGACGCTGATTTCAATGGTGAAAACGCCAACTCTTCATCTTTTTCGGAACAAAAGTTATATGCAAAATACTGTCCCAGCGGAAAATGGCTTTTTTGTTCATTTTTCAGCGGAAATGACCTATCTTGCAGAGCTTCGTGTAGCTAGAGGACGTGTCGTAGAACCTTCATTCGGGTCTCAAACGGAACAGCGAAGTGAGTTCTATATATTTCAGTAAAAAATCTCATGCCGGTACAAAGCATCTGGGTGAAAAGGCTTCTAGAAAACCAGAGAGTTTTCACGGAATTATCTTTTATTAACCTCGGCGAAAACCGATGAAAATCACTTGTTATAAGTTATTTTTCGCGTACAATCCAGATCTGACATTTAGACACGTACGTGAGAATGTTTTATGGGGTTTCTAGAGAAATTGTCAGTCTTTGGAAGGTTTTAGGAAATTTTAGTGGATTTCAGTTTGTATACGAAACGTATGTCTTTTGCTCCTTTCTTAAATAGTTTGTCGACACTACGACAGCTCGTTCGGCTACTGCGGCTTAGAGACGTGGTAATGTGTTGAAACGGGTAAACTTGACAACCGACATATGGGATTATCTTTCATTGTTTATTTAACTGTTGAACATTTCTCTAGGTTAAACAAAAAAACAGTTCCAGATTAAATATAATTTGGAAACATTGTCCAACACCATACTAAAAACCAGCAAAATACTCGATAAAACAAGTATAGTTAGGAAAGACAAACAAACATTTATCGCATTTTTTTCACTTTTTTCAACGACTTGATTTAGACTTTCTGTTTTCCACTGTATCAATCACCTTAAACTGTGAAGAATCTGTTGCTGGCGAGACGAGTTTGCATGAAATTGTATTCTCATCAATTTCTCTAGAAATCCCATAAAACATTCTCACGTACGTGTCTAAATGTCAGATCTGGATTGTGCGCGAAAAATAACTTATAACAAGTGATTTTCATCGGTTTTCGCCGAGGTTAATAAAAGACAATTCCGTGAAAACTCTCTGGTTTTCTAGAAGCCTTTTCACCCAGATGCTTTGTACCGGCATGAGATTTTTTACTGAAATATATAGAACTCACTTCGCTGTTCCGTTTGAGACCAGAATGAAGGTTCTACGACACGTCCTCTAGCTACACGAAGCTCTGCAAGATAGGTCATTTCCGCTGAAAAATGAACAAAAAAGCCATTTTCCGCTGGGACAGTATTTTGCATATAACTTTTGTTCCGAAAAAGATGGAGAGCTGGCGTTTTCACCATTAAAATCAGCGTGGAGAAAAAGAACGGAAATAGAAAACAATGTATGCTGGGACTGATATCGAACCTAGCCTCTAGCGGACTAGGACTTGACTCGAACTGAAAAAACATCGAACTTGCACATTTCTGGGCCGTTCGACCTTTGGATTCCGATGTAGAGAAAACTTTTAGATGTTACCGCCAACGATCTGAACGAGGATATAAAGAAATAATATCATCCGGTGAAAATACCAAAAAAAGCATGTAATCACTTTGGCGAATCGGAAAAGGGCAGACATTGATTGATCGTGGTTCGAACGTTTTCGAATTGGGGCTAGACTTAGACTGAAAAATTTTAACTGTTGGTTGGACTGAGACTAATTCGAACTTAGCCTCTAACGCACTGTGACTGGAAAAATACTGGACTTGCCCATCTTTGAACTGTAGCCATACTTCTACAAAAATTAGACAGTCAATTTTCTGAGGCTTATTCAAAACTTTTTTGGTATTTCGTAAAAATTTTCTTCTGGGTAATTCGTTGAGCGTTACAAACCGCATGATTAGAACTCGTTGATCATAGAATCTAAAGTGAGTGTACAGAGAACAGTTTGTCAGATATCCATCTTGATTGTCCCTAATCTCAAGGGTCAGAATAGACAACATATTCATGATCAGTATCGAAAATAACCTATAATCAAGTAGAAAAATGAACTGACACTTGAAAATGTCCCCTAATTACAATAGGTATCATATGAGTAATTTTCCTTCAGGTGGCTATTTCTTGGAGGATTGTGCATGAACTTCACAATCAATCGAGTTGTGATGCAGTGCATATTTTCTCTTTACAATTACATATATCGTTATAGATTCGGTGATAGAACACGTCAATCAACATTTTGGTACGTAGTAATTATTTTTTATTAAACGAATTTTCCTGCTATGTACATAATGGCTCATTGATAGATGCCTATCTGCGCAATTCTGTGGATAATCATCAGGATATATTTGACTTCTTACCACCGTCAAATTTCTCTGAATCAAGTAAATGAACATTAACAGACACATGTAAAATGAATGAATAACAGCTGATTCAATTTAGGTAACGAAACGCAACTGGGCCAATCCAACTGCAGTTCATTAGAAAGTTCACCATCGCATGCTCAAAATATAATGTTTAAATCGCAGCAAAGTAAAATACGTTTTTAGTTTTACTTATGATAATATGATAATGAAAAATTCATTTTGAGAGCCAGACACCGACTCCCATTCCACAATGGACGTTTTTCTAATAGCAGGTGGACTTCGAAATTCTTTACTCGTACACCATGTTTTTCGTGAATAATTATCATTGCGTAGTAAAGAAAAAGTTAATATTTTTAGAAAAATCACTTTCGACACTATAAGTCAAAACTGAAAATTTTTTCGTTAATTTAGTCAAAAACAGAGTCTAGATTCATAATCGATGTCGCTTTTGTTTTGGACTTGGGTGGTTTTAACGAAAACCTTATTTTACCGCATTCCAGTGGATTTTCAGACTAATTTTTGCCTAACGAGAGACCCGTCCCAAGTGATTAATCGTTTTAACTATGAATTACTCTCCTTATATGTAATCAACGGTACTGATTGCGAATATGAAGTCCGTTTTGGCCCAATTTCAAAAAGCTAAAGTCAAAAAAAGAAAAAATTCAATAACTCTTGAAGGAAGTGACATAGGCTCAAATCATTTTAGGCTTTTTCTCAGGGCAGTAGGCTCTACATATCAGCAAAATATGGCTGAGAACGGGGTGGGTCACGAGAGATGGTTTCCTCGTAAGCATTTTGATATTTATTTTAGCAGCTGTGTAAAAGCCTCCAAACACTGTTTTTATTGGGTTTTAGATATGCTCTTTCCAGTGGTGTAATTTACAGTGTTCAAATATATTTTTAGGTCTCTAGAAAACGAAGAAAAAGCATTTTTTAACTCTATAAATCTCACCATTGAAAAGAGCATATCTAAAAACCTATAAAAACAGTGTTTGGAGGCTTTCGTACTGCTTCTGTAGCATATGTTCACTTGCGTAGTCAAAAATTGTCCACTGTACATCACATTCACTGAATATATTCTCAACTTACATTTTTTCCATTTTTATGTTTTGTTGTCTTCTCATAGTGGATCTTCCACTTTTTGTTGAACAAATACCTGCAATTATCGAATTTGTTGAACCATCCAATGTTGCTATTCCTTTTCGTGAACAAATTCGAATCATAGCGCAACCCGAACAAGAGTACCATGCACGATATCGAGCTGATTTTGACAGAGAAAAGAAACGTGCACCACGATATATTCGATCAGGAGCAAAAAATTTTGAATATCCAACAATTGAAGTAAAGTCTTGAACAAGGAGTATACTGGATGTTTATAATCGAGCTCATTTTTTATTTTCAGATTCCATCAAAATATTGTGATCCAAATTCTAAACTATATATTCGTGTGTGTTTAGTCACAGTGCCTCAGACGGACAGGGGAATCTACTATATTCATCCGTATTCGTTAGAGACACCAGAACCACTTACAGGTGATATAATTCAAAATTCAGAAGATAACGCCATTTATTTCCCAATTACACAAACAGATTTAAACTCAGGCGGTATTAAGAGGTTAGTAAATACGTGATTATTATTAACTAGTATCTCACAATAATCCTAGTAAGTAACTTACTCGACTCTTGTTAAGAATCAGTTTATTGTGATAGTTTCTGACAGCCAGCGGCTCATTTTAGATTAGACGTTTGGATGAGTTATTTTGATGGACACTCATGTTGATATGAAAACATGATACGACACGCTCTAATAAGTTTCTTTTCTTAAAAAGCTATAGCAATATAAAAATTTCTGTTGAAAGTACCCAAAACACCGTGAGTTTGAAAAAAATTTCTCAATAACAATTCGTTGGATACAGCGACATTACCGCGATCGACATTACCGCGAACGATATTACCGCGAACACAAAAAACGACATTGCCGCGAATACAGAGAACGACATTACCGCGAAGACTTGTTTGTTGGAAAAGCCGAATAAATGAGGCCGGTTTTGTATTTTGTACATCATGTTTTCAAACTTAACTGACGTTATGTGGGGACTAGTCATTATCTGATACAGCCACAGATATCTAGTTTCCCATTACGGTAATATGTTTTATGTGAAAATACTTTTCGAACTCACTCTCACAATGCCCGCTCCCCACCTCCCACCTCCCTCCACATGATATACAAAGTACAAAACCAGGCTCATTTATTCTTCTTTTCCAATAAACGAGTCTTCGCGGTAAC